ATAGTGGGTCTGCAGTCTCTTCTCATGATTCTTTTCTTACTGCTGATAAGGAAAACAGCTTTGCTCCACCTTGAGCTCGCATGAGCTCCCATGAGTCCATCAACCATGGACTGGAATCTCCACAACTCAACTCAAATCAGCCTTTTCTCTTTATAAGTTAGTTATTTCAGCAGTTTTACTGTAGTAATGCAAAGCTGACTAATGCACTACCTTATGTTTTTTCTCTTGAGAATTCCAGTTTCCCATTCTCTCTGCCCAAGCAAAAAGACTACTATTTGTATAACAGAAAGGAAATGTTCATGGATTTGACAGTGCATATAGGGACACAAAAGCTGTCAACACATTGAATTTGTTTTTATAAAAATTCAAGTCTAGGATTTTTTTCATTCTTTTCTTACCCCGGTGAAAAATACTTTATAACTGTATGACTTTGGAGAGTTAAGAAGAGCTTTTCATCAATTCTACGTAAGTTCTTTGAGAAGAGATATGCAACTTTCTGAATATACATGAGACATAGTGATATAAATTTTATCATTCCTGTACTATATTTTCAGACAAAACTTCAGAAACTAATTTAGACAATGCAGTACCAGCATTTTGAAGTAGTTTCTGTATAGAAATACCTAGTAAGATCCAATCTGCATGTGTTATTTCTGCAAAGATAAGATTTTATCCCATGCTCATCAATATTATTGTATAAATGGAAGCGGCTGTAGAATGAGAAAAGTAATTTTATTTATTTGCTTAACAAAACATCAAACCCATTCTTCAAGAGACTCTCAGAGACAAATATCAGTCCTTTTGTTGATATCCTTCTTTGATAAATAATTATATTTCCTTCCATAAAGTTGTCCTTTACATCTGTCTTAGTTCTTTTGCTTCAATTTCTATCACTCCAATCACTCCAAGTGATGTTTTAGGGGGGATTGGAAGCAAATACATCAGAAGAGGGCACTCAGTATGTTTTCAGTGTCACAGAAAGAAGTAAAAATAAGTGGAAATAGCTTGAAACCACCCTGTAATGATTTAAACTAAAGATATCAGTATGGCTTTATGGTTTTTAATATATTTACTGATGGATAGCTACAGAGACAAATACAGATATGTGTGTACACATGGGTTAGTATACATACACTTCTTAAAGCTCTGTCTGCAGAGAGGCCTGAGAAGCAGTGAAACCCCAGTAGCAATGAGTGTACCCACCCTACCATCCAGATTTGGGTTTCAAATCATTCTCAACAAAAGAAGCCAAGGCTCCTTGGAGAAATGGCTGATGCCAGAGTTAGGATGGGAAAAACCACAAGATGAACCTGAAATACCTTGTGGCCAAAGTAAAGAAATTCTCAAAAAGTAATGGAAGGGGAGGGGCAGTCTATCCCAAGGACACAGAAACCAACATAAAGATTTAGCACCCAATGGCCAAACCAGTTCAATTTAAATAGCAAAGTAAATAGCAAAGTAAATGATAACAGTGGATTGTGACTCATGAAATAAAATGAATATTTAGTATTCCATACTAATATAAATAAATAATTGAGCTAATAAGTAAGGCAGAAGCTCTAAATAAAGGAAATAAGAAGCCACCATTATCACACACCATAGTAATAATCATTACAGGAAAGTACCATTGATGAATGCTAACATTAGTGGATGAAAGTTTGATGAAAAAGATATTTGCTTAATCTCCAAGAATCTCTCCCTAAGGTGTTTATTTACAAAGGGGAAAATGGCAGCTTCACCGTGCCATAATCTGACAGACACTTGTTTTACCCCTCAGAGTTAATATTACCAACAATAAAACATCAGAGTCCCACACCTCACTATGTTGCCCTAAGGGCATCCCTTCTGTGGTTTTCTTGCCAAAAATGCATAACCTCATTCTGCACATAAGGAAATATCAGATAAACCCATGTTGACAGATGCTCTGCAGAATAGTTGGCCTGAACTATTCAAAACTCTCAAGGTTGTAGAAGACAAAGCTACAGGATCTGTTACAGATTAAAGAAAACTAAGGAGACTTGACACCTAAATTCAGTGAGAATCCTAGCTTGGATCCTAGATATGGGGAAAAATGGAAAAATTTAAAGAACATCTGCATATTACTTGTTAGTATTGTATGTATGAATATGATTTCATTATTTGTACTATAATTGCATAGTTTTATGAAAGATTTATGGGAACTCTTTGTATTTTTCAACTTTTATGTAGATCTAAAATTATTTCAAAATGGAAAAAATTTAGCCACCCATGATGTGTCACACCTGTAATCCCAGCTCTTCAGGTGGTAGAGATAGGAGGATAACAAATTTGAGGCCAGCTTGGGCAAAGTTAGCAAGATCCTGTCTCAGAAACACAGCACAACACAAAAGGAAATGGGGTGTGACTCAAGTGGTAGAGCATTTGCCTAGCATGTGTGAGGCCCTAGATTCAATCCCTAGTACTATTAAAAAAAAAAAAAAGAAAAGAAAAATGTTGTGTCTTTTTAAAAGGATGAGGATTTGGAATAAATACGTCCTAAGGTCTCTTCCATCTGGCTTTATTATTCTGTCTTACAGTGATGCAAATGAAGAATATCAAAGGTATTAACACTTTTATTTCCCATCTGCTGATTAAGAAATGTGTTGAGTAGGAGCAAGACATAACGGAATGCTCTGAAAACTGTTGAACAATTCAGAGTAGGGGAAAGAGTAAGAAAGAGAAATAGAGGGGAGGTTAAACTGATTAAAGTACAATATATTTATAAGTAAAATATCAAAGCAAAATCCCACTGAACAATGAACAGACACTTGAACAGTGAAGGACAGGAATATGAAAGAGGTTATGTTAAGGAGAAGGCACTAATGGAAGGGGAAGGGAAATGAAGAGGGTAAAGGAGAGTGAATATGGTTGAGGTATTTTCTATACAAGTATGAATATGGAGCATTCAAACCTGTCGGTCATTTTAAGGAGAGCAGGGGAAGAGGGAGAATAGAGGGGATGAACCAAACCAGGGTACAATAGAAATGTTGGAATGAAACCCCTTGTACAACAATCATATACTAATAAAAGCATTTTTTACAAAGTTGCACAATTAATGAACACTAGAAAAAGAGAAATGTGTTGAGGCTGCAGAAACTATGATCAGATTTTAAACCATCAACTCAGTTCAGTGGGACACACCCTGAATAGATACATTTGTGTCCAGTTCTTCACTGAATAAGGTAATCCTTGCCACACCAGGATGCTGAGTATGCTGGAGACAGAATATGATGTGGTCCTCCCTGTCAGTCACTTATATCTCTGACGTCTCTCTTCCTTGATGATCCTTGATGATTTTAAATAATAGAATAGAACCAGAAAGAATGAAATAAATATTGATGCCTTAGAAACTTATTCAAGCCCTCAAAGAGGGCCTAGAAGTTTCTAGTCTGGGTTTGTAAAGAATAATGATACCATTAAATATGAAAAGCAACCTGGGAAGCCTTTGGTGTTAACACTTCATGTATTAAGGACCAGTGGACATTTACATTAAGATCCCCACCAGATAATTGGGTATGTCAGTATAGAGTAGTATGAAGATGCACATATTTGAGTATAAAGGATGATCTAATCCTGATGTTCTCTTAATACTCATTTTGTAGATGATTGTACTAAATTAAGCCTATGCTTTTATAATACCATGACGACAATTTGCAGATGATGAACTGATATGTTTCATTTAACAGATATTTACTATTGAAAAGTCAGGAAATGTAATTGTCAAAAAGTTATGATGTAAAAACTTCATTAATAAAGATTATTTTTGATTCTTCAATATTATTGAGCCTGTGTGTCTAGTTGAAAGTGAAATGTAGCTTTGAATCAAGGTCATTGTGTAAATGAAATAAAAGTTTCAGTGGTACAATATATTTGATGAAAAGTTAAGAAATTGACTTCCATCATAATTTTTTTAACTAAAGTCTTAGCGCTAACACTTTTGTGGATGCAGTGCCCTCTGTGGAGGATTAAAAATTGTGTATCTTATTTCTGTAGTAAGAACATACAACATATATGAACTTTTCAAGTCTCCACAGAATTGAAAAGTCAGTGTGGGTACTGTACTTTGAAACGTGTGTACTGTGGGCCTAAGGTGTTTTTTAATCTTTCATGGTTTTTGAAGGATCAAATAGCATTGGAAAAATAAGCCCGAGCATTACAAACGTGGTCTGGTGAAATTCAATATTCACAATGACAATTTAGAATATGAGCTTCTTGGGAGGAAAGTGAACTCACCACTCTTAACTTTGCATCTAAATACCTTGAAAGTGTGCTGCTGGTTTTATGAAAAGGTTTTGATCCACACTTCTACTTTAAGTTCAAAAGAAAACCTACATTTTAAAGAGTACTCTTTTTCTGGGTGTATTTACTTTGAACTATAGCATATAGTTTTTCTCATAAATCTAACCTGCCACTATCTGTTTTAAAGACTTTGTAAACTTCAAGTGGTTATGATGTGTGAAGTTTGGATTAAACTAAATTTTTTAGAAAACACATGTTATATATTTTGATTGTTTTGAATTTTAACATGGGCCAGTCAAAAACTTGAGTGTCTAGTGAAGTAATATACTGTACTCTGTTGCTGTAAGAAATCATAGAAAATTGCCCTTTCACATCATGTTAACAATAGACAAATGAAGCAGCTGTTCTTATTCTTAATGTAGATGTTTGAAAAAACTTGTACAATTTAATGAAAACGTCTCTACTCATAAAATTTAAAATGCTCACACATGGAAAAAGTCATAATGTTTTGGCAAATATTGCTTTGTTAAGAATGTGAATGAGGTATACCTGCTTCATAACTAGAATTCTATATAAATAGCATGAAACTGTGTATAGAAAGCCAACTGAAAAAGAAGACTCTGACAAAGAGCGAATTTAAACTCTAAAGACTGTCCCTTCCCGAAGATTTTTTTGGGCTTTGGTTGGTTTGTTGGTTTTGAGGAAGAATTATAAAATATACCTCTTTCCTTTTGTTTTTTTAGGCATATTTCTTGGGTCATCATTTCTACTCAGCATAAATGATTTTCTCCTTAAAACAAGTCTCAAAGAAAGAAGTCGGATTCTGATAGGACCATTTTGTGCTACTGCCAGTCTGGAAGCTAAATGGTGTAAACACAGTGGTAATCCAGGCCCAGAACAATCCATACCAAAAATATCCATCGATTTAAGAGGTGGTCTGCTACAGGTCTGTAGGTATTGGCCATATTTTCCCCATAAGTTTTAAAGTAGCCTTTATTTTTTAAAAAACTGTTTTAATAAATTTTTAGTCTTCATGTGGTAAGAAAGGGTATTGTCACATTGTTATCTTATTAAATTTTTAACAGCTTTGTTAGGGTATAACTCATATAACAATTCACCTATTTAGAGAGTAGGATTCAGTGTTTTTTTAGTATATTCAGAGTTATTTTCAGAGTTGTGTGGTCATTAGCATGGTCAATTTTAGGACATTTTCTTTATCACCCATTCATTAGTCGAGGAATATTTGGAATCTTTCCACTTTGGGCTATTATGAATAATACTGCTGTGAATATTTGCATACAAGTTTTTGTGTGGACATGTGTTTTCATTTCTCTTGGGTATATAACTAGAATAGAAATGCTGGGTCGAGCTAATTTTTTAATGCACACATTTTTCTAAATACAAAGGAGCAAACTTGTCTCAAGTACGGTGTCACTGGCAATATGTAAGAACCTTAGGTTCCTTAGGTATTATGGTATCTGATTACTAACACTTAATACATGTCACATTGCAACCTCATGTGTTTGCCTCGTAGCCAAGTATGCAATATGTGAGAGGATCTATGTTATTTCTTGATAATATTTGGATAGATTTTAATCTAATCTTTATATGATTTGATGTCCCTCTAACTTGATATGAATCCAAAAAGCTAATGATATTCACAATGACAGAAAATTGAAATGACTAATTTGTCAGTAATTAGAGACATATTAAACATGAATTCCTTATTTTCAACCCAAAGTTTGTGTTGTTTTAACTGACACAGTTTCACTGACACATCATGAGCAAGATTTGTTTGGGGAGATTCCAATAACATTGTTTGGTGTTGCTCTAGAGATTTTCAGTATCTATTTAGCACAGAGTAACTTCACAGCAATAAGTGCAAAGACAAAGTATGTCATCTCTGCATTGTAGTCACTGACTGTCTCTTGGTAATTTAAATGCTGGCACAGTGTTCTCCTCAGCTTGACTTTTCACCTATTTCTATTTCTTAGTATCCAGTTAAAATAATGTTGATGAGACTGAAAGTATACTTAGAATTGTATCTCTTAGTTTCATTTCTGAGATGCATTACTTCCAGAGAGCAGAACCTAAGCCTAGAATTTAAAGCTTACCCACAAGGAATATTCTTTTCTACCTCTGTGTGTTCTTTTGTCTTTTCTCTCTTAGCTGGTTCTCTTAGAATTTATAGCTGTGTTGCCTTTATCAAATATAGTCAGAGAAATTTAATTTTTAAAAATTTAATCCTCTGACATTAGTCATTATGACCTACTGGTCCTATATCTGTTACAGAATAATATTATTCAAAAGCAGGAAAAGAAAATTTAATCTTCTCCATTAGAAGAAACTCCACATCCTTGTACTCTGAAACTCCAGTAGTTCCTAGAGAGTTGATTCTTGGGAGGAACTATGGAATTGCTGTGTGTTACAACATTGTCACTAAATTCAGAAGCAACAGGATACTTTTAAGTTCAAGTCCACTGAGCCAGTTCCCTCTTTTTTTTTTTCTGATGAGTTAAAGTGCAAAGAAAGGAACCTTATAATCAGAATTTGATTTATTTAATCTCAGGACAAAATATAGAAAACTATTCCACAGGGTTATTACTATTTTATTAACATTTTTGCCTTGAGGATCTGCATTTCCTAATCTTGGATTTTAATAGATGTTCTTTGCCCTCTTAATTAAATGAATTCACAAACTTTACTGCATACCAATATAATTCTACCACTAATCTATCATATAAAAGTTACTGTTATTCACATAATATATTATATAACTGATTTTCTTGTTATATATTTAAGTAACAGAATTTCATCCTATAAGGTACTACTTATAAGGTACTATGGGACATAATTATAGTCTTGTATTAATTCAAACATGACTGTACCTAATTATCCTCAAGAAATGTTTGTATTTAAAGGCCACTAGAATTTTTCATGTCATTTTAAAGGTCTTCTGGGGTCAAGAACATTTGAATTGTTTAGTTCTTCTACATGAATTGCTCAATGGATATCTTATTGAGGAGGGAAAATTTGAAGTGCAAGTTTCTGAACCTGTGTCTCAAATGCCATCTCCTGTGGAAAAGAATCAGGCCTTTAAAAGTGAGCAAAGTTCAGATGACCTGCGGACAGGTCTCTTTCAATATATACAAGATGCTGGTAAGTACAGAAGCTTCAACATGACTGTATATGTGCACATGCACATGTGTGTGTTAATGCATGTTCACCAAGTAGCATATCAAGATCACTTGAAAAGTCATTCATGTTTGCAATACAAAAATAATACATTACAATTCAGTCTCTCTTAAGAGAAATTCTTGAGTATTTTTCTATCTCAAGTCATAAAATATAATCAGTTTCTTCATACTGTTTTATTCTCACTCTACAAAACCAACATGTTCCCTTTTAAAAGCATACAGTTAGTTGTATTTTCATTGGGCAGAACCTCTGAAACTTCCTGGTGTCTATGAAGTCTTGTTTTGTAATGAAACAGAAGATTGCCCAGGGATGATGTTATGGAGGTATCCAGAACCTCGAGTGCTCACCCTTGTACGAATAACTCCTGTGCCTTTCAATACCACAGAGGATCCAGATATTAGCACAGCAGACCTGGGTGACGTGCTACAGGTACGTGATGACTATGCTTTTTAAAATAAAGCATTATGAGAAAGTGCTGATCACTCATTAAGAAAAATGTTTGGAGCATACTTATTTCTTACGTCAGTAGTATCAAAGATAAATACACACAAGTGTATACTATATACCGCATATGTATAATAGAAATTTTAAAGGAAGGGAATTGTGTGATTAAGATTCAAGATACATTACACTTTCAAGAGATTTCAATCCTTCTCTTCATCCTGATATAGTTAGGTTCTTTGATGTGTAGCTATAATGGGAGAAGCAGGTATCATTCAATTTGCCACAAATTTTTACCAAGTGCCTACTATGTGTTCTCATTCTTCAGAGTTTCTAGCATTGCTCTGTGAAATAAGACATACCCATGTAAGGCCAAAATTCAATGAATTCAATGATCATAAGGCTTGAGGTAGGCAGATTTTTCTAAAAAGAGAAACCATCTAACCAGTGATGATATTCCCTGTGTTTTTATAAATACTTTTGTTCTTAGTTCCCTGAGTTTAAATGTAAATGGCATTGTGGATATCATTATATTATTGTTCTTTTTATTAACATCCTACTGATGTGAATTTCTCCTAAAATTTGTTTCTTCCTTCCACCTGTTACTAGACCTCACAACCAGCCACTCAAAACCTTGGAGTCATTCTTGTTTGCTTTCTTTCTCTAACTCTGCACGTCACATCAACATATCCTATCAATTCTTCCTCCAAAATAAGTCCATTTCCTTACATCTGTTTCTACCAATACAGCTACAATCACAGCTACTATCATTTGTTTCCTACTGTAGTAGCTTTGTGATTGATCGCTATGCTTCTATTCTTGACTACTTGAAATGCATGCTCCAAAAGCAACTGAAGTGGTCTTTTTTTTTTAAATTTAGGTCATATTACATCATTCTTCTAACTTAAAACCCTGTGGTAACTTTTTAAAAGGTACCTTCACAAGGGTAACAGGAAGAGAAAAACAAAAACAAGCTGTGTTACTGTTTTTCTGGTGGAGAAAGAGAACAGTAAGCCAAAGAAAACAATGCACTGTGCCCAATTCACTTTTGTTTATCCAATTCAAAAATCAGGAAAATTAGTTTTTAAAGTAACCCTAATGTGATTGTAAAAGTTAAAATGAAACCACATTGAAAGAATAATGAACAAAATTATTTGTTCTATGAGATGGGCCCCATCTCCATTTTACAAGTAAGGAAAGCAAGAAAAGTTAATTAACTACCTTGAATCATACAGTTTACAAGTGGAGGGGGCAGAATTTCATTCCCAGTCTTTCTGACTCTAAAACAGTTTTTTTCCTCTATATGTAAAAAAGACAACTGATAATATTGTAGGTGGTACAATAGGATGACAGTGAGCCACCTTATTGGGAAGTGTGGGAAGAAGGGAATAAATTTCTCCTTTTTGTTTAATTTGTTAAACTAAATGAAGTAGTTGTCCCAAAGGTATACAAAGTAACTTTAAGTCAATAAAAGGACATGCAAGATAGGTTTGGTTTGGTTTTAGGATACCTAAAGAAAGAATGTTTCTTTTCAAAGAAGAACTTCTCAGGTCTAGAGGCCTGGGAGGATCACAGGAGCTTTTTTTTTTTTTTTTTTCAGAAGTCTTCTTGGCAGCATCAAATGTCTGGTTCATCTGGTAGCTAAATCCCTTTTATGGAGATGAATGTAGCTGCTGTCAAATCTCTGTGCCTAATATTCAAATTATGTAAACACCTAAACAGTTTTCCAGTAGTTTGTTTCCCAGTGCAGTCTATCTGTAGAAAGAGTATCAAATGTTGGTTAGGCTAGCATCAGTATCTAGTGTGCTTGCAGTTACACATATCATGGTAAATTAATAATTTGGCTTATGGTTTATATATCATTATCTAGTGAACATGGCTAACAAGAGTCAGGATTCCTAAATTTCATCAATATTAGGACATCTCTGAAATTTTCTTGAGTCTATAAGGCCAACGGCTAGACCTTGAATCATGGTGAATATATCATGGTAAATGCCCTCTTGTAGCTACCTGCATTCTCAGCAGGCAGAGAATGCCCAAACTGTATCTCTGTTGTTCAGTATGTCACAAATATTTCCAAAGAAATTTCTACTTTGACTAACTTCAAGAGTTATGAGGAATAGGGTTAATAAATGCAAAGCATCTAGCATAATGTCTTACATAGTTAAAGACTCAATAAATTATTGTGATAACTAGTGGTAACTATTATGATTATTACCACCATCATCATTATCAGTGTCATTATCATTATCATCCTATCATCCAGGTAAGAACCTGGCTCTTACTACATTAGACATAGTCTTCTGAGGACATTTTTTTTGTTTGTTTAATGGCATCATAATTTTGAGGAATGCTGGCTTTCCATGTGATTAATAAATGTAATACTTTCACCAACAGAGTGACTGCTCTAAGAGATACTACGTTTCCCTAAACTAGACAGTTAGTGGGCTCCGTATAGTATGTCTGTTATAGCTCTCCATGTTGCCACTAACTTAGGCAAAATACAGGAATAGTTAATATCATGATACTGTGGGGAGTACTCACTTTGGCAACACATACACTAAATTTGAAACAATACAGAGAAGATTAGCCTGGCTTCTGCACAAGGATGACACACAAATTCATGAAGTGTTCCATTAAAAAAAAAAAAAGATAACAGTGGGGATTCCTTGAGGCCAAGGGCAGTATGCATCTGGCTCTCTTGAAGGACCAGGGCCAGAATGGAAGATAGGAACCCAAGGGAGTATTCACTCACTATTGTGTCTTTTTCTGTATTTGTTTTAATCTTTCTTCTCAACAGACTAGCTTGCTTTTCAGCAGACCCTTTGCTTCTCAGGCTACTTGGTACTTCTCAGGCCCCACAGCTCTTGGAGCTCCCAAAGTCATATTTACAGGACCAGCCTACTTTGCAGATGCACAATCCTAACTGACCCAGTTTGGTGTCTGGTGCTCTTGGCCCAGTCACTGATGGTCACAGAGTGCAGTGACAGTTTACTGACATAGCTGTGAGGTGGTAGTCATTGTGACATTTTCAAGAATCCCCCAAAGAGATCTATTCTGTGTCTCAGCTTTCTTACTGCCCTTTGTTTCTACCATAGCTAGTATTGGCCAAGTTCACAGTTAGTACTGACCATACACTGTCAGCACTGCTTTCCAATCTGATTCTGAAGGTCTGCAGAACTTTCTGTATTCTATTCTTGGAGGGAAAACTTTCCTATAAGGTCTATGACTTTGGAGGAAAGACTACCACTCACAAGGAACCCACAGAAAGACTGCTTTCCTTTAAAAAAAAAAAGTCTCTTCTTTGCTCTGCTTTTCCCTTTACAAATATTTGGCAAAGCTATTTCTCCCTGCACATCAAAAGCTATCTGCATCTGGACAGAAGCTTCATACCACTTTTTAAATCCTCTCATCTTCCCCTAGCATCCTCCTGAAATGTGGGTTAGACAAGGTCCTATGTCACAAGACGTATAAGACACATAAGAGATTATTTCTTTCCCCCGCTATGCATAAAATCAATACTTTTCTTGGCCAGTGCTTCCTTTTTAATGCAGTGACTACATATCTCATTGGTAACATCTCAGATTCTATATATACGCTCCCAGTTCTAATGAGGTATGAGAGCCTTTACATAGAATTTTCTGTTTTATAAAATTGGTTTTTTACAATGTGATGTTTTAATGTCTGTAACTTAGTGGTGATTTCTAATATTTTATCCACAGACTGAATTAAAGCTTCATTAAATCTTATAGTTACAAGGATTTTTTTTCTTGTTCATAATTATGTGGAAAATGTTCCAAGTCAATTATACTTGATATTATCCAATAAATTAGAAACTATACTTTTGCTGCTTTAAACTTGACTTTATAAGGTTCCTATAATTGTAAAAGGCATGGACTGATAGGCAAATCTTACAATGTTAGTACATGGTGACACTACAGAAAGAGAATTGTTTGGAGAATTATTTGCAATGTAATATGACTTGCCTCTTTCCCTCACAGCTCAAAAAGAATAAAAGGAAGCATTCTTGGGTGTTTCTTTTCAGCAGTGTTGGGTGCTTCACTTATAGCTGACCATATATTCCAAGAGTCCTGAGCTTTTTGTTGTATAAGCACCTCCTGCCCACTGGCAGCTATACTAATGTGCCCCAGAAGGCTTTGCTCCTATCCATCATCTTTAGGAGGAGTACTCAAGCCAGATAGGAGACTCATTGTTGAAATGCAGAAAAAAAAGTCTGGAAGACCTTGGGGAAGTAAGAGGCTGAGCCAGACTCATAGGAAATGAAGAAAAGGAAAAGAGCCTGTGTACACGACAGACACAATAATAAATGTTTTGAATGATGGGTAACGGTGCTGGATCAACTACTAAGTGTTTTATATCCAGAAGCCATTGCTTCCTTTTTTGGACAAAGATGGAAAATTTTAAATAGAGTATTCCCTGAATACACTTTTAATCATTCTGTCTTCAGAATATTATGAAAGTATGAAAAAAAGGGATCTAGGAATACATTTACAAGAGTCCTTCCTGAGAATTTTGAGGTTAACTCAGCAAACACAGATGAAAGGACCTTGACTACATACTGTGAGTAATGTAAAGACAGAGAGGGCTCTAGCTCTATTCTCAAGGCAGCTATAGTCTTTCAGGAGGAACATCATGCATACAGAACAAGGCAAGTCATGACCTGTGCCATGGAAAAAACAAGACTGTGCCTTTTTGAAAGCAAAGAGCATTTGTGGCTAATGGAGATATCAAGACAAGGCTTTATAGAGAAAATAGCTATTGAGGTGATGCTTGAAGGATGAGTAGAATTTCAAGAGATAAAGCAGGGGAAAGGTCCTATGGAAAAAAAATCAGTCTGAACACAATTTCATAATCAAATGAAGAAGGAAGAACATTAACATTTCTAGGAAGTGGCAAATGATGTGGGTTGAGTAATAGCACAGGTTAGACAACTGGCAAGATTAACAAGAGTGATAAGCTGCAGATAT